AACTGTCCTTGTTTCCAGAATTTTTGCAGAGAAAAATGATCCACATTGACTTGCCTTCAGCTTATATCTTCTTCTTCTTCTTGAACAATATATTTGCAATTAAAGTTTAGAATACAAGGAATAAAAAACTCTTACATGCTTTTAAATTGGACAAATATGATAAATAGTCAGAAAATTGTTTAAAAAATATAAAACATGTTTATTGTCGAGATTAATGATGGGGGACAGAATGGCTTGGTGGGTTGTTGCTCAGTTTAGAGCACCGGTGCTGAGGCTCGATACAGCGCTAGAAGTGGACCTCTACAAAAATCCGGGTGATGCTGATGACTCACCCGTATTCCTATCATCAAGGGACTCTTCATCATATTTGTCCAATGCGACAGGCCAACGGAGCGAGCTTAACCAATAATAATGATGACTCGCAAAAAAAATTCGTCGAGTTTCTGAAAACTGGAAGACAATTTTAGGAATGAAATTAATGCAATGAAAAAAAATTTAAGCGAAGTGAACAGCTCTAAGTATGTACAATGAATAAATATTATTTACTAAATTATGGAAATTAAATTTTAAAATTTTCAATGAATTCGAAATTTTGGCAAAGGAATGCTCGAAGTGATAAAATAATGATATTATAGCGGATGTATGCGCATACGTTCCAGTTTCAACAAAAAATAATATCCAGAAACAAGAATTCCTTATATCCCACAAATTTGCCTAAATGTTTCCATATTTAGAAAATACTTCGCGAAATTCACTTATATCTGTGGAACTCCATTAAACCTCGTACTTTCCATAATTGCCTGAACCCTCTAAGCCTACCGTTTTCTTCTCGCTTATCTTCAAATCTCCTACTGCGCCTTTGCATCTAAGCCTTCCGATGAAATATTTTCTTGCTAGAATGAATTACAGTATTCTACCATAATCGTTGTTTAAAGTCTCGATTATTACTGTCGACGGTGGAATCAGATCACAATTAGTCATTGTAAAAAGACTATATGATCAGATGAGATATCAAAAAAAATGAAAATATAATTTATATATTTATATATTTTGTCAAAAAATTTTCAATTTCGACTATCGATTTCATAAATATTTTTTGATTGTAGGCTATAAGTTTTCAGAAATTCATAGGACAATCTCCAATTTTTGCGACCCCACTCTATTTTTTTAAAAAAAGCTTGGTTTAGTACGTTAAAGCTCTCATTTTAGAGCACTGATGCTGGAATTCTACTAGTGCGAAGAGTTAACTTTCCTCAAACGAGTGACGCTGGCAAATCATCTAATTTTTCCTTAACACATGGCTTATTATGTAGATTTTTCGGAAATGCTATTTAATAATTTTGCATGATGCTCGGTAGCATTGGCACAATACCCTTTCAATTTTAATAATATCATCATTTTTATTATTATTACTTTATTATATTTTTTTAATTATTCTATTTTTTATTTTATTATTTTATTTTTTATTATTACCTCATTATATTTTTATTAATATTATTGCAATAGTAATAATGACAGAATGAAATGCACTATCAAAATCCATAAATCATGTGAGGAATTTTCCGCGCGTCCGTTATTGGAAATCACTGGAAATACCGGAAATTTAAATAATACAGGTGAGTATTATGTTTAATTGTAATAGAGGACAAATTATGCATAAATAAATTGGCTTATTTCTTTTAAAAGCATTCGGTCTTCAATATGAACAGCTTTTGGTGTTAAGTTTGATGTCATTTGTTCTTTCAGCTTTCTTTTTCGTTCGTCATTAAATATTAAGTGCAAACGCTTATTATGTTAAATGGTTATATAAAAGTACCCATTTATGAACCTGTTAGTCAGAATCTAAAACTATGTTTGCTATTATCCTACCGTTTTCCCTTCTGTCTCTCACATTTGCAGGCAACGTGGAGATCGAAGAATGTGTTAAGCTTAAATTAGTTGGAAATCAGCATAAAAAACGACCGTCTGTGGATTCTTGTCCAGAGGATCCAGTTTGTTCAACGATATTCCCCTATGATCCAGCGAATGCTGCTGATTTAGTAAACAATTTGAGAGAGTATGAATTTTTTAAATATTATAAATTGCTTGTGAATGACTGTAATAGTTTATATTATTTTTCAAATAATTTGATCGTGATTGTGCTAAGTTTGAATGGCATTTTCTATTCTCACCTATATCTCAGAAGTATTTCAAAAATTAGATAGTCGAGTGATAAATCGGCTCGACAACCCATGAACAGAATGAAATTGAAGAGTATATGTGTTCCCAGTAACATTTTTTTTCCACATGAAGCTGTGGTGGAAAACTTAATACAGAAATGGTGACTGGTTGAAACGCCTTATCATCAATCAGGAATTTGTTGCAGGGATCAAGATTATAAGATTCCTGAACTATGCAACAAGGTTAAGGATTTCGCAGCAAGAATGTGTCCGAAAACGTGTGCGATGTGTTGCAAAACGAAGGAATTTAACTGTCACGATGGTCAGTCGTTTTGTTCAGTCGTTTTATTCTTAAATTCAAAGAGAGCGAATCATAGGAATTCTATTTGTTTCCTTTCAGTCAGTCCTGATGCATGTCGAAGGTTGGATAGAAATATTTGTTTAACTGTACCTAGCGTAGCACTATCGATGTGCCCATTTACATGTGGCCTTTGTCACAGACCCGGTGCTGCTGGAATGTGTCCAGATGAAAACGAAAATTGTGCGGCTATTTTCCATTTGGACCCTACATGCAGTACGGATTTCATGAAGAGGTCTTGCAAGAAGACATGTAGATTAACGGATTGCTTACCAGGTTGATTTTCGAGTTTCGCACCACAAGATACATTTTCTGTAGTGAATAGCCTTTTTATTACAACCATCGATAAATAAATAATATTTTCAGTTAATAGCAATTCATTTAAGATTTATTACTTATTAATGTGTATTTTCAAAAGTTTAAACAAGGTCTTCTGTATTGCAGGTAATGCAACTTCAAATTCGTCAACTTGTACCGATTTACACCCTCAATGTCAAGCAAATGCCCGGTATTGCAATATAGGCGACTATGGAGTTGTAATGAGCAGAGTTTGTAGATTAACTTGTCGTCATTGTACTCCTTAGAATCATATTTTAATCATTCTACACCATTATCATCTGATTTTGGTATCAAATCAGAATAAATAATAAAATAAATGAAAAATAATTGTTAATTGTTAATTGTTAATAAAAATAATAAACAATTATTTATTCTTTATCGTATGTGTATAAATTATTTAGCTCAATATTAGCAAAGTTATCATGAATTTCATCTGTCAAAAGACTGAACGAAATAACTCCCACTGGTTTCATTTTTCATCGTGAAATTGATTCGAAAGAACTATTGGCTTTAAGCAGAAGTCTTTATGTAAGGACAATTTGCGTAACAGTTATATCTAAAACCTCCGCTGCGAAACTGAAATTGAAGTTGTGATTTGATCTTAATCGAGGAAATACCAAAGTCTGTGGCTTTGTAGTAGAGTATAGAATCTTTACTGGAACTCTTTATTTCATCATTTCATCATTTTTAGAAAAAGCTTCATTTTATATAAAATTCGAAAATTAAAAGAGGACAATAATACAATAATAATACTAATAATACTAATAATACTATATTTGTGTTCATAAGAAGTCTGCATATAAAATTTAATGAATGAATGACGTAAAAAAGCTGGAAAAACAAGTGGCATGAAAGTTGAAAAAAAAATATTTGTCGTCGCGAATAATACTGTAGCAGATATAAGTTTCTGATAGAATTTCAAATAAAATTTTAGGAATTTTTGAAGGAATGAAAAATAAATCCGTATTTTTAAGCGAGCTTGTGCAATGAAAAAATACTATTTATTAAACATGGAACCTAAATTTTAATATTTTCAATAAATTCGAAATTTGCGAAAGGAATGCTTAAAGAAATAAAATGATGATAGTATTGCTATGTATGGAGCGCCCGCGCTGAGGTTCTATTCCTCGTTGGGATAAACTTGTTGGAAAAATTCTGGCGAATCACATCTACCGCTATCGACAATCAATCCAACAGAAAAAAACTCCGGAAACGTGAATCCCTCATATCCCTCAAAACTCGCTCAAATTTTCCCATATCTAGAAAATGCTTCGCGAAATTTATTCTTATGTCCGTGGAACTCCGTTGAACCGGGCATAATCACCTGAACTCTTTAATCCTTGTCATTCTCTTTTTGAAATCTCCTATTACGCCTTTGCATCTTCCGTTGAAATGGTTTTTTTGCTGGCATAGTGAATTATAATAGTGAATTATATATCATGATAGCTGTTTAAAGTCTTGTTATTTTATCAGAAAATATTCAATTTTACCTATTATTTTGGTAAATATTTCTTGATTGTAAGCTATAAGTGAATTATAAATTTATAGATTATAGCCTCCAGTTTTTATAACCTCACTTTGTTTTTTGAGAAATAGCACGGCATTAGAAGCTCTCACATTAGAACACTGATGCTAGAATTCTACCAATGGCAAGAGTTAACTACTCTCGAAAATGTGATACTGGTAATTCACCTAATTCTCCCTCATCATATTGCTTCTCTACTTGATAGCGAACGCTTATTGTGTAGGAGTGTTGGAAATGCTATTTAGCAATTTTGCACAATTTTTGGTAGCATTGGCACTATATCCCTTCAATTTTAATATTGTTAAAGCTATAATGACTACCTTATTTTATTCTTATTATATTTTTATACTATTGCAACAATAATAATAATCGTGAAATGTTTCTTCCTGGATTAGTAGCAACACACAATGTTTTTTTAATAACAGAATAATGCACTATTAAAATTCATAGATCATGCGAAGAAAATGATTTTTCCGGAGATCCATTACCGGAAGTCACCGGATGACCGAAAATGCAAACAATACAGTCAAATGTTATATAATTTAAAAGTTACAATATATAATAAGCAAAGGAAAAATTATGGATAAACAAAACTGCTTTTCTGTGCCAGAATTATTCGGACTTCGCCAAGAATAGCTCTTGGTGTTAACTTTGATGTCATTTGTTTTTCCAGCTTTCTTCGTCCTTAATTCATTGAATTTTAAGTGCAGATGCTTATTAAGAACAAATATTAAATGATCATATAAAAATTATGCGTTTATGAAATGTTAGTCAAATCGTCAATATAAAATTATGTTCGCTGTTATCTTACCGTTTTTCTTTCTGCCTCTTACATTTGCAGGCAATGCGGATATTGAAGAATGTGTTAAACTAGTTGGTGATAAAAGACGACCAATTGTGAATTCTTGTCCAGAGGATCCAGTTTGTTCATCGATATTCGTTTATGATCAACAAGACCTTCCTGCTGTATTAGCAAATAATTTGAGAGAGTATGAATTTTTTTACTAATTATAGACTATTTGTGGATGACTATTATGGTTTAAATTATTTCTAAAATAATATGATCTCGATTAAATTAAGTTATGATGCCACTTTCTATTCATGCCTATATCTTCTCAAAAGTATTTCAAAATTATGAGGGAATTAGCGAATCGAGTGGCAAATCGATTCGATTTCCAACTCATGAACGGAATGAAACAGAAGATTATATTCATATTTATGCGTTCCCAACAACCACATTTTTGTCTCACATGAATCTGTGGTGCAAACTTAATAAAGAGTAAGGCAAAGCAGAAATGGTGACTGGTGGAAGCGCCTTATCAGCAATTTGTTATAGGGATCAAGACTATAAGATTCCCGAACTGTGCAACAAGATTAAGGATTTCGCAGCAAAAACATGCCCTAGAACATGTGCGATGTGTTGTAAAACGAAGGAATTTAACTGTCACGATGGTCAGTCGTTTTGTTTTATTCTTAAATTCAAAGAGAGCGATTCATAAGAATTCGATTTGTTTCCTTTCAGTCAGTCCCGATGCATGCCGAAGGTTGGATAGAAATATTTGCTTAACTGTACCTAGCGTAGCACTATCGATGTGCCCATTTACATGTGGCCTTTGTCACAGACCAGGTGCTGCTGGAATGTGTCCAGATGAAAACGAAAATTGTGCGGCTATTTTCTATTTGGACCCTACATGCAGTACGGATTTCATGAAGAGATCTTGCAAGAAGACATGTAGACTAACGGATTGCTTACCAGGTTGATTTTCGAGTTTCGCACCACAAGATACATTTTCTGCTGTGAATGTTGCAGTCATCGATGGATAAAGAATNAATTGTTAATTGTTAATAAAAATAATAAACAATTATTTATTCTTTATCGTATGTGTATAAATTATTTAGCTCAATATTAGCAAAGTTATCATGAATTTCATCTGTCAAAAGATTGAAGGAAACATCTCCCACTGGTTTCATTTTTCATCGTTGATTCGAAAGAACTATTGGCTTTAAGCAGAAGTTTTTAGGGCAATTTGCGTTACAGCACAACAGTTATCTCTAAAACTCCCACAGGAGAACTGAAATTGAATTTGTAGTGATTTGGTCTTAATCGAGGAAACACCAAATGCCAAACTTTTTTGAAGGGTATTAAATTTTCACTCGAAAACTTTAGAAATTCAATAGAAAATAATAAATCATTCAATAGAAAAATTTAGAAATAGTCTTTTTTAGGAAAAATTTTTAATTTATCTAAAATTTGAAACTTAAAATGGATAACAATATTAAGCGTCATCAAAAGGCAAGGTGAGGAGAGCCGTTTTATGAAGAAGCGCAGCGAATGCACAAATTGCCTAAAAGGATAAGGAAATGCGGAAATTATTTAGCTCAGTAACATCTTGTCAACAGCGCTTTTTCATCACGAATTTCATCTGTCAAATTTTTTTAATAGAGAGATTTTTTATATTTCTATTATAATCCTTTCATTGTTGGTTCTAATATTTTATCCCTGATATTTTATGTGGAATGTAGAATTCTGAAAAGAAACCAAAAGTTGTTCAGGTGAAACCATAGAGATTATTAAATGAATCTACTTTGTGGATTCGAAAGAGAAGTCGATGAGCAATTCTACTCGTTGCTTCACTTCTGTCTACTATGACCTTATTACGCAAATACAAGGATGTGCAAACATTATAGAATAGTCAATGAAGAAAAAGAATAAGGTTCTAATCCATTCGCATCTTCGTCGTTTATTTATCGAATATCAAGTGCAGACGTTTATTAAGAATAATTATTAACTGATTATATAAAAAATATCCATTTATGAACTAGTATCTGCGAGCGATGTGGATGTCGAAGAATGTGTTAAACTAGTTGGAATAGTTGGTGATAAAAAACGACCAACTGTGAATTCTTGTCCAGAGGATCCAGTTTGTTCATCGATATTCGTTTATGATCAACAAGACATTGTTTTAGCAAACAATTTGAAAGAGTATGAATTTTTTTACTAATTATAGACTATTTGTGGATGACTATTATGGTTTAAATTATTTCTAAAATAATTTGATCGTGATTGTACTAAGTTAAAATGGCATTTTCTATTCTCATCTATATCTCAGAAGTATTTTGAAAATTAGCGAATCGAGTGATAAATCGTCTCGATTTCCAATGAGTCGAGTGACAAATCGGTTCGATTTCCAACCCATGAACGGAATGAAACTGACGATTATTTTTATGCGCCCTCACCCTTCACATTTTCGTTCCATATGAATACGTAGTGGAGAGGCTAATCGAGAGTTTATAAACAGAGCAGAAATATTGACTGGTGGTAAAAAAACGAAAATAAACTACTTATCGGCAATTTGTTATAGGGATCATGATGATTCCCGAACTGTGCCGTAAGGTTAAGGATTTCGTAATAAAAACATGCCCAAAAACATGTGCGATGTGTTGTAAAACGAAGGAATTTAACTGTCACGATGATCAGCTGTTTTCTTTTATTTTTAACTTGAAAAAAGATCGAATCATAGATGTTCGACTTGTTTCCTTTCAGTCAATATCGATGCATGCCAAAAGTTGGGTCGAAATATTTGTACAATTTCACCTAGTATAGCTTTATCGATATGTCTGTGTGGTTTTTGTGATAGACCAGGTGTCCAGATGAAAGCGAAAAATGTAGGGCCATAGATGGATGGATAGATGGATGAATAATATTTTCAGATATTAGTAATAGATTAAATTTATTTCTTGTAATTAATAGAATTATTCAAAAATCTAACCAAAATCTTTTGCACTGCAGGTAATGCAACTTCGTCGTCGACTTGCACCGATTTATACCCTCAATGTCAAGTAAATTCCCGAAGGATATGAATGAGGAAGAAATCAAAAAACAATACTAATGGAACTTAATAAAAATTCAATTCAATTTCGCTGTTTTATGACCATTTTTTTTCTTTTAAAAAATTTATAGTTTCTAGTTTGATTGATTCAATTCACTCAATACAATCAGATAATTTTAAGCAAGGAAATCATTTTGTGAACCACTGGTAGCATATGAAATTTTACGATAGGTTTATTTCTACTGGAAGCTGAAAAATTGTAAATTGTAATTAGCTCCATTTTGAAAAAAAAATTTTTTGTGGAATGGAATGATTATGCAAGTTCTTAATCACAAATTGTGTTCAAATATGAATAAAAAACGATCCATTAGCTCAATTGAAGCGAAAGGTCAGCAATCTGATTCGGAAAGAAGTCGATGGGCAATTTAATTCGTTGCTCCACTTGCTCCACTTTTATCTACTATGACCTTAATACGCAAATAAGGATGTGCCAACATTATAGAACAGTCCATGAAGAAACAAATAAGGCCCTAATCCATTCCTATCCATTAATGATTTTTTTCATGCATTCTGCAACTGTATTTATTTTTCTTTTTTTAATTGGCTTAAATGATGGCTTCAGGCAAATTGGCCTTGCGACAATAACATATACTGCTTTTTGTTATACCGTTCAGGCATCACGAATATAATCGTCTTTACAAATATATCAAATTTAATTTTAGCTTTTCCATAAATATACCTTATCTTATCACTGTCAGTCCCTATCATAATCTTTTCACATTTATTTAATTTTAGATTTTAGATTGGTCTTACGATGATTCAAGAGAATACACTAAAAAAATAGTTTAACCACCGTTCAAGATTTGTTTATTTTATGCAATAAAAAGTATTTATTGAATGATTTTGGCAATGACAATGTTTTGGCTGAAATTTTTTCCATGAATTTAACTATAATTTTTTGAAAATCGCCATCCATCATTATGAAATGAGGAATGATGATATTTTAGTAGATAAGCATGTATTTTAACAGAAAAAGTTGTCCAAAAATTAAGATTCTCCATTTTATACTGTCGTACTTCCCTCTCTCTCTTCCTCAAAACCTGCACAATTCTACGTCTCTGTAGTATTTTGGGAAATATAAATATACTTCTATAAAACCTTCTGTAAAACCTTATACTACTAGCGATGGCGTCGGAGCAGCTTAGAGACGTCTCTTCTAGCTAGCGGAACCAGTAATGATGAAAAGAAGAAGAGATCTTACTAAGAAAGAAGAGACCTTCCTTACTGAGGATGTGAATTGATACAATTTGAAAATGAAATTGCATTATCATCTGTATTAATAATTCGATTCGGTTTTATGCATAATATTATAGATAAATTTTGAAATTAATGTTTAATGGAAAGCGCTAATATTTCTTTGCACAATGTCTACTAAATTGAACCATCTATTTATTTATCTTCTTCATAAGGGACCAGGAAATTTTCGTTAGCGTTTCGTAAAAAAATTGCTCACTGAAGGTGAATGTCGCAGAATGGTGAAGGAACTCACAATGTGGAGCCAGTCGACTGCAGCGCGACATGCCTTTTTACCACCGTGCAAGTGGAAGAACACTAAGACGTTCAAAGGAATGCGGGTTACAAGTTATTGCCGAAATTATACGAGCAGAAAATTTTAAGCGGCTTATAGAGATATTTGCAGAGATATAAAGGTATTAGAGGGGTATAAAATAAAATTCTGAATAAAAAGACGGTTTTTTTTTT